CTTTTCATATCTATCTATCTATCTATCTATCTATCTATCTATCTATCTATCTATCTATCTATCTCATTCAGCTCATATCTATCTATCTAGGTCCTTTTCATATCTATCTATCTATCTATCTATCTATCTATCTATCTATCTATCTATCTCATTCTGTTCATATCTATCTATCTATCTATCTATCTATCTATCTATCTATCTATCTCATTCTATTCATATCTATCTGTCTGTCTATCTATCGATCTCATTCTGGTCATATCCCTATCTAACGATCTATCTTCGCCTGTTCATCTATCTATCTATCTATCTATCTATCTATCTATCTATCTATCCGTATCTATCTGTCTGTCTGTCTATCTATCTATCTATCTATCTATCTATTCGTATCTATCTGTCTGTCTATCTATCTATCTCAGCCTGTTCATCTCTTTTAGAACGTTTGCGATTTTGTCGATTTTTCAGTTAGGTGACTTTTTTCCATGTTAACTGAAAAGATTTAATACTCTGTCGGTCATGCGCCGTCTGCGTGTGACTGCACGCGTTTATATAATGTAAATATCCACCTGTCTGTGTTACATGTGACTGCGCCATTTAAGCTTCACACGACCCCTCCCACGCATATATGCACATGTTTTTGACTGTTTGAAAGAAGACATTGGGAGTGACAGAGAATGAAACAAGGGATAAACCTCTAGTCCTGTTCAAAAACCACGGAGAAGTGTGAACCGGGCGATGGGCGAACCTATCCACTCCTATTGAGGAAAAATAAATAAATCAGAGTTTCGGTGGAATTGTTAGAAGTATAAAGTCGAAGTAAACTTTAGAATCAACCCAAATCCTAAATTGGAAAAAGAATAAATCTCAATATCTGTTTAAAAAAAACAGGGGAGGAGTGTGAACCGGACGATAGGCAAACCTATCTACTCTTATTAAAGGTGAACCTCCATACTTCTATTTTAAGCTCGAGAAATACCAGATCATTATAAGATTTTATTGAACTTAATTGGGAAATTAGATTAAACACATTTTTGTCAACAAAATACTAGTGTCGTTATTCCACTAGAAGTTTGGAAGGCAAAACAATATTTGAATGCATTTTGAACAGCAATTGAATCGTTGAAAACTGTTACTCATAAGTTGTGGCAAAAAGTGGCAATCAGTTGACAAGAGGCCAGGTGAGGCGGTTGGATGAGGCAGGGTTTCGTAGCCCAACTCATACAATTTCTGTAAGATTCGTTGTGCAACGTGTGGCCGATCATTGTTGTGCAAAAAGATTGGATTCTTTTTCGTTGATTTATGTTGGACACTATTGATTAATTTCTTGGCAATATATTTCAGCTGTGATTGTTTCTCCAGGATTCAGAAAAGCTGTGGTGAATCAATCCAGCTTTAGACCGTCAAACTCTTGCCATAACCTTCTTTTGGTGAAACGTCGGCTTTGGGTAAAGGTTTAGGAGTTTCCTTTCGATTCAATCATTGCCTTGAACGTCGTCGGTTGCCATATAAGATCCATTTCTCATCGCATGGAACAAGGCGATCGAGAAATGGGTAATTTTGTTGCGCAAAAAGAAGAGATGAACAGACTTAAAAACGGCTTTTTGGCTTTTGTTCAATTCGTGTGGCAGCCATTTATACAACTTCTTAGACTTTCCAATTTTGTTCAAATGACGAGAAATTGATCCAATACTTACACCTAGCTCTTTTGCAAGTTCTTGAACTGTGATACGAGCAATTGGCCCCATTAATGTCTTCAATTTCTCATCTTCATTTCTTCGTCCTGGGTATGGCGATAAACTACCTCCGGCAGCAAGGCCTCAGATCAAGAGATTGGAGATTTTGTGGAGCGTGGAACCACCTCTTAATAGAGGTAGTTCCACGCTCCTCAAAATCTCAAGAGCTGTTGCTCCCACATCAACCCTGAGCCGGGCTGAAAACACTTGTTAGGGTCGCAGCTATGGGCAAATAGTGAACATCCACCCACCCCCCAAAAATCAATAGTATGTAAATCAATGCAACACCAAAAAAATATAAAAAAAACATTTTTATAGTAAAATGACTAACAATACATTTTAGCATAAAATTGCCTACAAAATATTTAGATTTCGGCATTAAATAACCCATAGAGATGTTGATATGTCACTAAACAAAATCAACCAATCAACTCAGCTTCGATGGAAGACTGACGTCCACAGCCATTGTTATCTTCAAGGCTGGCTTCACCACGGCGAAATTTCTGAAAGTAACTTTGGCTATTTTAGAGGGTGTGAGGGACGGACAGACTAACGCAGGTCACAGAATTTCATATATAGATCAATAGATGAATATAATCTTGACCGTAGTGCAACTTACACTGCTCGAAAGATTAATAAATTTTTGGGAAAATGAACTGTTGACAAAAGCACAATGCAACCTTCGTTTCGATCGAGACCAAATTTTGAAAGTTTGAAATTAATATTAGCTCATGGCCCGGGGCGGGGGTGGGGAATCCCCTCAGGCAGTACCCCTAATTCGAAAGGGGGCTAGAGTCATTGCCCGACGTTTGAGAGGTCCCCAAATTGCGATGGCCTGAGGAGCATGAGGATTTTTTAAACTGCTTCTCACACTAAACCATGACCTTGTGTCACATTTTGTAATGACATGTCCGTGCGGATAAATACGTACTTACTGTCACACCCTGATTCTCTTGCCGTCAATATGTCCTGTGAGTGTTAGATTCACCAAGACTTCTTTCCTCATTATGTCTCCATACGCTAATTTTTATTTTTGTTTTTGTTTTTTTAGTTTATGAAATAGGTATTGAAAATTTAATGTCTCTGCTTCATTCAACCGAAAGGTTCATTTTAGTTCGTTTTCTGTGGGTCCTTGACGCTGGAGAAGGATCGACCCTTAGGAATATGGTAATTATCCGGGATTCTGGTTGGATAAAAGTCAATACCAGATTGAACTGATATCTTCTCGAGTTAAGAATCTAGACCTGTAATTCTCGACGTGGGCCTGGAGTTGGCCTAAGAAAAAGAGGTGTCTTTTGAAATTCTTATGCAAATAAAATTTATTTCCTGTTACATCGAACCTCTATTTCTGCTTATGTGGGCCTGAAACTTTTTGACACCAACAATGGGCCACAAGGAAGAAAAGGTTGGTCTTAGCTGGTCATATCTTATCCAAGTCGGTAAGAGATCGTCCAACCTAGTCATAGTCGTGATACCACCTGTGCCAGCTAATGCGATTTAATTGACTCCATCCCGACACTGAGTCAGGCTGTGACACAAGGTCGGTTTTTGACGTGGGGACCCGAGAGTTTCCACTCGGGCCGTTGGTCTAAGCTGATCTTAGTTGGTCAAAGCTCGTCTAAGCTAGTCATAGCTTTTCAGAGCTCGTCCAAGATAGTCATAACCGTGATACCACGTGTGCCGGGTAAGGCGATTTACTTGACACTGAGTCAGGTTGTGACACAAGGTCGGTTTTTATCGCGGGAACCCGATTGTTTCCATTCGAGCCGCTGGCCTAAGCTGAACTTAGCTCCTCATAGCTTGTCTAAGCCAGTCATAGCCGTGATACTGCCTGTGTCGGGTAAGGCGATTGACGAGTCGGGTTGTGACACAAGGTCGGTTTTTAACGGGGGGACTCGACTGTTTCCACTCGGGCTAAGCTGTTTTTTGTTTTTTTTTTCTCGTCGATAAGCTTCCAGCAATACTGGTGTAAATATTTAAAAATCGTTCAACCATACTTCTCGGAGTTGCTTTTATCTTATACGTCTTAAAAAATTGTTTAAGGAGAGAAGGTTTTAAATGTTATCGGCATCATTTCTGTTGTTCTTTTTTACAGTAAAGTACACCCTGTGCAAGGCACAAGGGCTTCTCGAGGTAGAGGGTTACAATAAGATGCAGCTTATACGGATAGGAGAGGAAGATAACGATTAACCCTAGACGTGAACAGGTTAAGATTGTAGTCAGCGTGGAAATATCCTCTTTGGAGTTTGTTCCACAGGGCAGTAGTTTGTGGGAAGAAGCTATTCGAGCGGAACTTATTTCTCGCCGATGAAATACGGAGAGAATGTGAATGGTTTGCTACTATGTAAGTGAAATGGCAGGCCCTAGCCGTAAAGATTAGACCTGGCGGAATCAAGGACTGTAGTTCGTCCGTGCACTTTCCGTGGAAGTAGCGGTAGAACAGTGGGAGGCTAGCCACCCACCGCACGTGAGAGACAGGTTGCAGGGTAGAAAATACTTCTTCTTCAAAAAGGACGCTTTCGAACTCTGTCAAGACAGGAAAAGCAGCTTCCGTCCAAATATGGCAACAGTACTCCATTTTCGGCCTGAGAGGATAGCATGAGAACTCAAGAACTTACTGGAGCGGTACAGAGAGCCGATCATTTTACCTGGCTACCCTCGAATACACCGAACGGGTTGGGGAGGCAAGACTGATTCCATTAGTGAACAGATCTCGTGTTCACTTCCACAGAAGAAGAAAAAAAAAACACGTACAACCTGTCTATCATAATCTCAAGATTCTTCTGTCTGTAAATTCACTCGAGGGAGACCCGCACCATTTCAACGTTTATCTAGATTAGTACAATCTTTACGTTTTTTTTCTTTCTTGAAGTGACTCGTTGCACAAGCACTAAACATCTGAAACAAATCTGTTTGCCTTACAAGTGAATCAAATTCGCTGAGAATGGTCGGCCACAAAGCAAGCGTCCATATTGGCTTCCCAGACGCATGCCTGGCTGGTCTACTTGTCATGTGCCAATTTATTGTAGGTAACTGGAGCGTATGTACTATCGACCGTTGTTGCAAATCAGCAGGCTATGAATTTGTATCTCACTCTCTCTCTCTCTCTCTCTCTCTCTCTCTCTCTCTCTTTCTTATATATATATATATATATATATATATCATTTGTTCCTGCAACCAGTGCACTCTCTGCTTGTCTGTCTTTCAGGTGGTTCTTTTTTCTGCTTTTTATTATTTATTTTTGTTTTTATCTGATAACTGAGCTATTTTATGTTGCTTTGCCCTTCTCTCTCTCTCTCTCTCTCTTGCTTTGTTCTTTCTTTCCTTCTTTTTCTTCAGTTTACTCTTCCTTTTATTAAATTTCTTTCGTTCGTTCTTTTGTTCCGGTTTAGTCTTTCTTTCTTTATTTATTTATTTATTTATTTTTCTCCAGTCTGCTCTTTCTTTCATTATCTTCCTTTCTCTATCTTTCTTTCTTTTATGCCAGTCTATTTTTTCAATTTTGTTTGTTTGTTTGTTTGTTTGTTTGTTGCTTTCTTTCTTTCTTTCTTTCTTTCTTTCTTTCTTTCTTTCTTTCTTTCTTCTGTCCGTCCTTACTTTCTTTTTCTCCAGTCTGCTTTTTCTTTCATTATCTTTCTTTTTCTATCTTTCTTTCTTTTGTTCCAATCTAGTCTTTCTTTCAATTTGGCTCTTTCTTTCTTTCTTTCTTTCTTTCTTTCTTTCTTTCTTTCTTTCTTTTCGCAACCTTTTCCTCTATTCTTTCTTTCTTGCAAATGTCTTCCTTTTCTTTTACGCAATGAGATATTTCAGTGCCTTCTCTGCTCCAAAGTTGAAAACACTTCAGGTTATTTTTGTTCAAATGACTCTTGTGTATAAATACGGATTACTAAATCAAATTTATACACTTGCCTTGATAATGTTCCTCGAGGAATGAAACGCGATGACATAAACGGTTTACCTCTTCACATTTCTTTGATAAGAAATGGTAATTATTGTCTGTACAAATACGTTGCATCTGTTTCTCAAGATTTTACACACACACGCACATAAATATATTCGCTCTTTGTGCGTAGAAATCTCAGACTATATTTGTAAAAGGACAATATGAGAAAAAGGACAAAAGGATAAAGTTCCTCAGAGGCCGAAACGCATCGAAAGTTTTCCTTTTCTAATTTTCATATGTGTGTGTGTGTGTGTGTGTGTGTGTGTGTGTGTGTGGATAGGATGTGAAAAAGAACAAATAGGAAAACTTTATAAGTTTATAAGTCGAACATGTTTCACTTTTATTAAAGCTTCATCAGAGAATGAATTATGGAAGAGAAAAATAAAATTTCTGTATTTTTAATTTTCATTGGTTAAGCAGACTTCACTTGCATCAGCCTTGCCAAGCAGCGTTCGTGTGTATAATCAATGTGCATCTGTGTATCATAATTTTAGTTTGTCTATATTGGATGCGCATACACATATGGTTGGAGACTTTTGGGACTCCTATATATATATATATATATATATATATGCATACTTATTGGAACTAACATATTTAGTTGCATTGATGTGAGTTTGTGACCTTGAATTTCACGCTATTTGCGATCGTCAGATTTGTCTGAAGAAGAAATGGAATCGACTGTAATGGAATCGACTGAATTTGTCAATTCGAGCCGCTATCCATTACGCCGCTGTGCTTCCTGTTGAAAATATGCATTTCTTGAAAATATGCATTTTTTAAAATATGTATTTTTGTCTACGTGTCCAGTCCAGACTTTAGGAACACCCTGCATATATATATATATTAAGATTCTGATTATTACTGTGCTTCGGATCTGATGTCGTAAATATATTACAGTGTGCAGTTTATATTTTATATCATAAAGAAACAATTTATACAAAAGAATTAACACACACATTTACATATATATATATATATATATATATATATATATATATATATATATATATAGATAGATAGATAGATAGATATAGATATATGAAGGTTGCTGCCCATATATATATATATTTGTGTTTGTATGTGTATGTGTGCGTGTGTGCGTATTAAGAAAGGTGAAATATTGTAAGTATCAGGACTGTGGTAGACGCAGAAATCAGTGCACCTTTTTATACATTTTCATCTTCGTGAATTACTTTTCTTATAATTAAAATACCATTTTTAAGTCGAAATAATTAATAGTCACGAACTGTTCTCCCCAAAGGCCCAGTGATTTCCAGGTTTCGTTCAGAGCGATTGTTACATGCCAGCGCTGACTACCCCCTAAAACCCCCTACCCGGAGGCAAGCCTGATTGGGGGACCTAACTTATCAACACTTGCATTTTTTTTTTCTACTTACTTTTATATATGTTACAACTTAGTACAACTGATTATTAAAGGATGAACAATTTTCGCGGATTTTGACGTCATTCTCTGTCTTCCTTTCGTCTAAATCCGTGAATTTCTTTTGCTCATACTAAGTCTCGAAAAACACGATATAAACTGCATTATTTTTTTTCCATAATGTTGAATGTGTTAAAATTATTCAACTTTTTAAGAAGAAAAATCTCATAAAACATTGTTGATTTATTTAAGATGAAATGATCTATTATGAGATGTCTCTAATTTGTATTTAGATACATTGTATTTATTTTTAATTTTTCTAGTTGTTCACTGACATTGCATATGATCCATTATTAATTACAATGAATAAAGTATTTTATATGAATACTGCTACTATAGAATATTTGATGGAATGGTTTTGAGAAACGCAAAAACAAAAAAGATTCGGTCAAACTTTGTAGATTTATACGCTTCATCTTGGAAAAGCAACATGATGAATTTTGGGCAGAAGTTTTATCACTAAACCAAAAGATATGCAATGGGGACCTCACGCCCGTTAACTTTCCGAATGTTTTAATAATAATAATAATAATAATAATAATAATACGAGTACAACCTTTCTCACGAGTACAGCCCACACCTTATTGACACGGCAGTCCATGCAGACTGTAATGTGTCTTTGAAGATCTTCTAAAAATCTATCAAAATACAAGGAACATGAAGAGGAAATTTCAAAAACGCGACACATAAGGACATTAATAATTCCACTTGTAGTTGGAACCGTCAGATTGATTGGAAAAGATTCCAATAGGCTCATTGAAGGGATTCCTGGTGACTCATACCTTACAGAAATAAAAGAAAATTGTTCTTACAAGTACCTCCCACACCTTACAGAGGACTTTTTTTTTTAATGAGTCAATTGAAAATGTCATGATGCCATTTCTAACCTTAGGTCTCTAGCCGGGACCCGGAACGAAATGTGTATACACCAGAAATCAAAGAAAATAACATAATAATAATAACAATAATAATAATAATAATAATAATAATAAACGCCTAGTTACTTGGGAACGTTCTCAGCCGGAAAGAATCTAAGAATGGTTTGCCTATCCTGAAAGTATTCTGACTGGGCTCCACTTGTAAATATTATAGTTGAGATCAGAATGATTTTGAACCAAAAATCAACATTCTCTACCAAGAGTTCCAAGAAGTAGATCTCAAAATATACTTTTCCAAAACAAAAAATGATTTGGAATTGAAATGAAAGCAATGATGGCACCTACCCTGAATCTATTATAAAAATTGAGGAAATTAGAAATGAATTAATTTTAAATACTTCAAATAAGTCGATGTAAAGATCAGTTAAAACAAATTTAGTACAGGAGATAAAGAAATAGAATATAGAAAAGTCTGTTCTAGGGATAGTTTCGCCTAATACCGCAAGTTGCTACAAAACCTGAAAATCATGAAAAGCACTTGCTTAAGTCGCCTCGTCAGATCTAGAATCTCATGTGGATGCCATGGGTGGCATCCAACGTGTTAAAAAAATATCTAGATTATCAACTATACACAATCGTTTTCTCATATCAATGATGGCTTCAAGTGAATGAATCCTTTAGGTTTTGTAGAAGATTTTCCTGTATCAGATCTCATAGTCTGGCGCTACATAATCGCAAATGCTTTATCAAAAAATAAAAAAGACATCACTTCCAGCAGCAGCAGCAACAACTAAAATCCGTAAAACATTGTTGTAACCCAGAAAGGTTTACTGAATGAGGAATAAACAAAACGGAGGTTGGAAATGAAATAGTAATCTTTATAATAACAACAAAATGCAATACTCGCCAGCAGCAGGTAAACGACTACTTAGACAGCATATTATGATCTTTATCTGTCTCCCCACGAGGTAGGATATGGCACAAGGCCAAATTTAATGTGGAGAAATCCGAGCCCATGAGCTCGGGCAAACATTGTCCGTAGACCCCCGCATACGCGGGATCAGGTATCTGTCTATCTCCTCGGACGAGACTCTGCCCTTCGGTATAACCTCATCCGGGTTCCTCTCTGCCTTCGAGCAGAGAGTTTAATACAGCAAGAGCTGCCCACGCTGACGGCTCACGCTTAGACAGCATATTGCCCTCACTTACAATAGTGTCCAACGTATTTATCAGGATTGGGATATACACATTAGTGTTCACAGGTACAGTATATAACAGACATATAACTAGAAGAGAAAATAATGACATAAATCAATCTGTTGACTTTCTACATGACCTTAAACAAAAGATTAGGTAGATAACTACTAACAGTAATAGAAAGATCGCTAACAGTTAGTGGACCTGAGGAGACTAATCTCCTAAAAAACCCTTGAAAGATTCTATTAATTTCAACCGACAGTTACGCTGTTCGGTCAATGAATGTCGAATGTTTCCTTATAAGGAAACGGCTAATCTCACCATTATTATTATCTTTAATCCATAGCGTTCACCTGAAGATACCCACAAAGTAGTTGGTGTTTGACTCTAGACTTTTCTTTCTCCTAGACTGGCAGTCACCCAAGACAAGAGATCACAGCCTCCTCCGCTGGAAATGTTAACGCTTTAAGATCCGGGGCTTCAATTACTGTGTCTTGCATATCCAAATACTTTTCGCTTACAGCCATATTATGTTGAAACGCTGGTTCCCGTATGATCACCGAAGTTAAGCAACGTCGAGATTGGTCTGTACCAGAATGGGTAACCGTTTGGGGATATCAGATGCTGGTTTAATAGATACTGAGCTGTTAATCGGAGTGCAGAGTTCGAATTCCCGCCGGGTTCGTTATATTCACTGACGTGCAAATATCCTCGGGGAAGGTATGTATCCAACTCCTCCCCCCACCCCAGCTAGTAAGACTTGTATTACTAAACCATTCTTATGTTAAAAAAAAAAATTCTTACAACCTGAAAATATTTTCTGCTTTTGAATAACCTGCAAAGCCGTAGAAAACGAAATATTTTTTATGTTATGGGGTGGCATTGTAAGCCCCCCCTCCCGCCACCTGGGTGTATGCGGTATTGTCGTATATGATGATGAATAGTTCTTTTAGTGGATGTGCAAATTGTAATCAGTGATTGGGTCGTGAATCTGATTAGTTAGGTATAAGAGAGTAAGTGATGACCATCCTCAGCCTATCCCTCCCCTCCATTCTCGGCCTTGTGCCACAATTGTAATTTATATGCAATAAATCTAGAAAATCAATCAAACAACAAAATACTTTTAAAAGTCAGTGATGACGATCATGTATTTTCTGGACGTCACGCGCAGGTTTTCTTGCACGCGAGATTCATCACGAGATTAAATGTCGTCAGTCGTTGAATACGTTTAAAACCGCTCTTCAAAGGTGATTCAACGGCAACACTTATTGAACTGTCAATAAGTCATTTAATATGATGGTCGACCCCACAGGTAATACTTCTCTTTTGGTGTGGATGGCTAGAGTAATTAGATCTGTGTCTCCTAAAAGGAAAGTGCTGGGGGGGGGAGCTATTTTTCTTCCTCGTCCATGATGGCGTGTGCACCGCTTTAAACTCGACATCGCGTCACGTTCTGCTTGAGTTGCGGTGCGGATAAATATCCACCCAACGTTGAACACGAAAATAGGACTATTTATCGCGATACAATGCTCAACAAGATGATCATCATCTCGGCAGGATGTGCAGGGGGTGTAATGAATAACGGCAATGGCATGTGAAATCAGAGAGGCGAGTTCGAATTCCCGTCGGTTTCGTTACATTCATTATTTTTATTTTTATTTTTTTTGAAAATATCGTATAGGACAAGTATGAATGTACAACTGGAAAAGTCAGTGTTATCTTCAAAAATTGTTAATTGAAAATAAAAATCATTCTCACAATCCATAATATGTTTCGGCTTTTAAAATCACCTTACAAAGGGTTGATAAGCCGTAAAAAAGAAACAAATCAACCAATCAGTTAAAATATCATTTCGGTTATTCGGGTTTGAGTCCACTCTCGGGTGTGGGCGTACCCCTCAAACAATACCTTTCTCACAGGAGAGGGCTAGGGTTAATCCCTAACGCCTGAGGTGCCCCTAAAAACCATGTACGAGTGGTACTCTAACTTTATATTTGACATTGTGCAACATTCTGTTCGGGCACGAATAAATCCCATCGGGTGATACCGTGGATGTCACTGGATTAAGTTTCTCACAAAAATCTTCTCTGTAATCATGCAAAAGACGAGGACACTACTTCTTTCCACCCCCTGGGTCGTATACTGAGCAAGAAGTGTGCCTCTTACCTTGCAGGCGTCCTTTGATGTCTCCTCCCGTGTATCACTTTCACTGGTGGGGCACACCCTTCCTTACGCCCCGTTCTAAGCAATCGGAGACGAATTTTTGGAAAGAAAAAATAGAACAACAGACAGTAACTGCGGGTGGCGGCCATGAAGCCTGTCTGTCGTCCAAATCGTCGAGACAAGTAGAAACGCCTGCTTTGTCTTTTTTCAAACGCCCGATTGATGATTGCTTAATTTGTTGTGACGTGGCACAAAGTTATTGGTTGGCAGCTGGTTGTGTTTAAGACTTGTAGCTGGAATATGTATTTCCCGGCCTTTGTTAGATCTTAATATTCGCGCACCCGTCAGGATTTTGTCTTTTGAGAGATTGGCGCAACACACTCTTCCTGCTATTTTATCCTTGTTACATTGGCAAATAAATGCGACATTCAGTGTAAATGGAATACTTAATTAATTCGGTGATTGGAATTATTAATTATAACAAACATTTAAATAGTTTACAATTAAGCATTTTTCGCGTCAGTATTGCGCCGATATTTGGTCAAATTAGTCTGTTGCGGGTCGGGGTATGCGTTGAGAAATAAACACGTGTGTCTTCTGAAATACCAACAACCAACATGGCAAACTCGAGTTCACCTAAAAAAATGTAAAGAAACAACTAGGACCTCAATAAGAAAATGTGCTTTCTTATTGATATGGCAGTCCCTGCAGACTGTAATATATCTTTGAAGATCTATCAAAATACAAGGACCTTGGAATGGAAATCTCAATATATGAGACCTGAGGACTTCAACAATTCCAGTTGTAGTTAGATTCCTCGGATTGATTGGAAAAAGGGTCCGATAGACTCATTGAAGGGATTCCTGGTAGCCGATGCCTTAAAGAAATTAAAGAAAATTGTTCTTACGAGTACAGCCCACACCTTACGAAGGGCTTTATCTATGTGTCTTTTTTTTTTTTTTTGTTTTTAATTACTCAGTGGAAATTTTATGATACCATTTCTGACCTTATGTCTCTTCGCGGGACTCGGAAAGAAATGAGTAGACACCAGAAATCAACGGAATAATAATAATAATAATAATAATAATAATAATAATAATAATAATGAGATGGAGGAGAAGAAGAACAACAACAACAAGAAAGGAGTACTACAGGATGCGTCTAGTAGAGAATACATAAACACCTTGGCTGTCACTGTGGTACAATACAGTTTCAACATCCTTACCTAGACCATAGCTGACATTAAGCGAATGGACGCCAAAATGGACGCCACCGCATTCACCATCCCATCATGATGTTGATTGTTTGTATGTGCCCAGATCCGAAGTAGGCAGAGGATTAGTTCAACTAGAACTGTCTTACAAAACCGCAACAACTTTCCTTCAAAGATACCTGGAAACTACAGAAGACTGGATGATGATCTGTGTCGAAGAACATGAGAGAACTAAGAAAATTTATTCAGTAATAAAGGAAGCCAACAACTTCAAAATGGAGTTTCAAATGGGTAAAGAAATGCAAGTAAAGCATAATACACCGACTGTAGCTGAAAAATACTTAAAAAAGAAAGCAAAGGCAAATGCAGCCGACCAGATACAAAACGGATGGCAAAATAAACCGCTTCACAGTTAATACTCTGTCCGTAGCAAAAAAGCTGATGTAGACAAACCCCGTACCCCTCAGTATCTACGTAGAGCAGGGTTAAAAGCTGAAACCGAAGGTTTTATTCTTACTTCACAGGACCAAAGCTTGCTAAACAAGTAATTAACAAGCACACATGCTGAAAAAAATATGTTAACTCCAAATGCAGATTCTGTGATGAATATCCAGAAACAATTGATCATCTTGTATATCTGCACTGAAGAAATCTGCAACTTTTATGGAAAGGGAACTGCAAGAAATTGGTATGAACCCCACCCAAACCCGGTTATGGAGAAAGGATTTATAACAATTTTATGGGACTTTATAATACACACAGACAGAACAATCAAAGATAATTGACCTGACATCGTGATTAGAGACGACAAAGACAAAATATGCCTTCTTATTGACATGCAGAGTGTAATGTGTCTTTGATGATCTTCAAAGAATTATCAAAATATAAGGACCTTAAAATCGAAAACTCAAAAATGTGGAATATGAGGACATCAGTAATTCCAGTTGTAGTTGAAGCACTCGGATTGATTGGAAAATTTTTCGATAGACTCATTGAAGGGATTCCTCCTCATGTCTTAAAGAAACACAAAAAAAATTGTTCCCACAAGTACAGCCCAAACCTTACGAAGGGCTTTATCTATGTAAAATATGTGTCATTTTTTTTTTTTAAACTGTTCAATGGAAAATGTCATGATGCCATGTCTAATCTTAGGCCTCCGGTCGGCACCCAGAAAGAAATGAGTATACACCAGAAATCAAAGGAAATAAAATATAATAATGTCCTACTGACATGTCAGACTGCAATGTATCCTTGAAGACCTTCCAAAAACTATCAAAATATAAGGATCTTGAAATGGAAATCTCAAAAATGTGGCACATGCGGACATCAATAATTCTAGTTGTAGTTGGAGAAATCGGATTGGTTGGAAAAGGTTCCGATAGACTCATTGAAGGGACTCCTGGTAGCCCTTGCCTTCAAGGAATACAAAAAAATGCACTCAAAAGTACAGCTCACATATTACGAAGAGCATTATCTATGTAAAATGTGTGTGATCTTTGTTTTTTACAAAAATGAATAGTGGAATATGTCATGAAACCATTTCTGACCTTATGTCTCTGGTTGAAACCCGGAAAAAAATGTGTATACAACAGAAATCAAAGGAAACAGCAACAACAACAACAATAATAATAATAATAATAATAATAATAAATGCTTTTATGCTATCCAGACAGGACTGTCATTGCTTCTGGCTTTAATGGCTTGGTAGTATTAGCATGTATATATTCTTGCTATCCTAAATATGCCAATCAATACTACTGATTTTTATGTCAGTTGTCTAACCTGAACCAGTTGGGCTTCTAAGGACTGGCGCACTGTACATATCTGTTCATGAGGGGTCGTATCAATACCAGATGTTAAGAATTTTGGTTTTTAGGACTGAAGTATGAGACAGCCAAGGTGACTTGGGAGATGTTAAAAGTAGATGTTAAAAAACACTCAATCGGAGACAGTCTGAGCGAACAGGGTTAGCTGACCTGAGGTTATTTCTAACTACGGTAGACCTCTTAGATGCCACCTAAGAGGTTACGCGCTGCTTTTGCATAATGTATCATTGTCAGAAAGAAAGAACAGACCATAACACAAAATATGAATTGAAGATGTCAAAATCGGCAAGCAGAGAAATTTAATTATCTTGGAATTGTTTTAACAGACACCGAAATCCGAAAGTGAATTGAAATAGCGAAATGGGATTTTTAGAACGTAAACAAAGAATTAAGAAAAACGGTAAAATTTCATCAGAAACAAGGAA